AGCGGTATTGTACTAGGACAAAGACTGGATGGCTTTGATATATAAATGTGTGTGTGTGCAGATATTTACTGGCTGTCTACGGATTTCTAAAGAGCTCTCGAAGAAAACAGGATCTTCATAGAGAACGAAGCAGACGCAATTATCTAGTGCTGCTCCTCCTACGTGGGAATTCTACATAGTGCGGTTATAAGTGTCTAGGAGTGAAGTACAAGAATTACAGTTCATCCAATTTACAGATTTATATGATATTCTAAGTTAGACAATGTTCGCTATAAAATCCAATGCTTGAAATTTATCCCAGAACCCTTCTTCATTATTTTTCTATAGCTCCTTCATAATCAAACGTATGAATTAGCAGTCCAGCGACTCTAAAAATGAATAGCTGCTCGTGGAAGGCCCATCTTGTTATGTTGCCGTGATTCCCCTCATTTCCAAAACAAGTTTTTCCATTTGTGTTTTTGATTTTGTGCCAGAAAGGTTTTTATGGTGGACCTTTATTGCCTAACGTTTCGACAAATATCGTCTTCTTCGGAGGCCTTCAGTCCACCGTGGAGTTAGTAGTCCGCACGACTGTGACGGAAGATACGAAGAAGAAGAAGAAGAAGAAGAAGAAGAAGACGATATTTCTCGAAACGTTAGGCAGTAAAGGTCCACCATAAAAACCTCTCTGGCACAAAATCAAAGAAGAGAGCACACGGAAACTACTTACAAGTTTTTCCAATTTTAATTGATCACAGTGAGATTCTGGTTTTTACTCCTTCTGTGTGAAATCAGTTGATAGACTCTTACCTTACGAATCGTGACAGGTAAAGTTTATATAGCGCTGAATGTCCTTATATGATCTGCGAATTTTTTTCAATTCTGAGCAAGTTTTCATTTGGATGCTTATGCTTCAATTCGAATTTGTTGAGGATCCGTAACTGCCATAGCTCTTTGAGCGATGGTATCAGACAGTCAGTGCCTCTTTACGTCTTTAGAGACTCAGACACGCAAGAGTTTCAAGCTTTTCAAAAAAGAAAAGAAGAAAACTTTAATTTTTGTTTCAATGATTCTAAGCCTGGTGGTTATTCTATGAAGAGGATCTCTCTTTCACACTATTGCCTTTTCATCAAATTTTATATGTCTTATGTTCTCATGCACTTTGCTATATTTGAATCACGATAGCTCATTGTTTGATAAGCATACGGCTTGGAATTATAACAAGAATCTCTATTCTACCACTTAATATATATGTTCTGAAGTAGTTCTGCTTCACTACCGATTTTGGAGCAGAATTTACCGGTACCGGTGATGCGCGCTGACAAAAGTTTTACATCGATGTTGTATCTAACAATAAGTTTATTAGAAAAGAAGAAAATTTCAGCTTAAGACTGTTCTTCATTTAATTGATCTAGCGTGATTTTAATTTAATTCATTGTGAAATAGAATTATCTTGGTCGTTATAATGCACAGTTCTGGGAATTTACCGTAAAAAATCGGATCCAGTAGAAAACGGCATCGTTGACAGTATAGGGTTTCTGACCTGCTCTTTTATGCAAAGATCATCGATTTCAAGTATTATCCATCATTCTTTATTGTAGTGGCATAGGGAAATAAAGCTTGAGAATTTTTGAAAGATGCATTTCAAGCTTTAAGAGCACAAGCCGTCTCATTTTCATCTCTGTCCCCACAAGTTGGACTACCCCCGTTCTGGAAATGCTCTTTCACTGAATTTTTCATCGTTCTACTCTGGTATGCATTGATTAAACATGGTTTTTTGAACGTTACGCGTAATGAAGCATTCTTCTTCATTCGCACATTCTTCGTTGCCACGAAGGGGAGCAAAGAGTGTGCAAATTTCTTACTGTGTTATGTGATTCTGGCAGTTTCTGTCCGTGTTTTGATAGTTATATACGAACTACAATATAATAACAATATTCTATTTTGCATTTATATGCATTTCTCTTTTCCCCTACCGCCTCCTCATCCTGTTTCGACCTTCATTCGAGCAAAGTCTGGAACCCGATATTTTCGTAGTGCACTCTAATTCTTTTGGTTATGTGTTCGAGTTTGTAAGAGGATACAAATCTGAGATGTTTTGAATCTCATGTTTGCACTGGTCAGTGACGCGTTTTTCTAGAAGGTCGATCTCCTTTGCGACTCGATTAAGCTCAATGTTGTCCCTGTCTGTCACTGATACACTACTTAATTTGATTGAGCGGAGAATAGTCTTCGATGCCTTGAGTAAGCGATTATCTCGTATCAGAGCAGGACCTCGCACTACTCCATTCACAATCTAATCGCTCGTCATGGAGTACTCCGGGAGGATGCTCTTAAATTGTTTTACCTTTTCATTATTGCAGTAAAACAGGCGTACGAATTTGTCGCAAATGCACTCTGTAGGATCTTCCGCTGTACTAGGGGCCCGTATAATCTCAAAAAATTGTCTCCTCTTCAACTTCCTGAATAATTTTTTTCATACTAAAGTGACGTTGTGCTTTCTTATAAACCGCACCCGAAATTGGAAATCGTTATCTGATGTTTCGCTATATTTCTAAAGATTCACTGACAGCGCTCGGCACAGGTGGCTTATAAACAAGCTGGATATTGTTTTTGGGACAAATAAAGGGGTATCGTTTTTGTGGCTCAAAAAAAAAACACAGCTAATCGTGCATCTCCGGAATTGTTCCCGTATGAACTATCAACGTGGCTTCCTTTCGATCGTTTTAACACGTTAACTCCAGCAAATTCAAGGCGCCTATTCGAAGTTGACATGTTAAAATGATCGAGAGAAATCACGTTGATGGTTCATATGGGAACATTCCTAGGAGATGCACCAAAGACTACGTTTTTTAGCCGAATTTCTTTTTTTTTGGGGGGGGGGTTTAGTTTTATGGTTCAGGGTCAAAAGGGACTTCGTAAAATTTTGGGAAATTCAAGGGGAACTTCGTTCCTTGCATTTTCGGAACGCCACCTCGTGCCGAGCCCTGTTCACTGACAGAAATTCACAGAGAATTTTTTGCAGCTGTACAAGAAAAGCGGTAAGACTTGCCTGACGATGTTTAGACTGCCAAACCCAGCACCTTTTTTGAGAACGCGATAGCATACATTGCCGCGATCGCTTCATGAATTTTTATGCCACACATGCTACATCTACATAATGTTTTGTTTGTAATGAGCACCTTCTGTACATGCAAACCCTTAGCGGTCATCGATATCTGCCCCTACTCTTTATCAAATTTTGGCCTTTTTTTTCAAGTTGGATTTGATTACTAACTGCGGTAGGTCAAATTACAATCTTTTAGAAATTCTCCGCATTTTCAACAGCCCTCTCTCCCTTCAGATGTTTGTTTATGTGCTCTTCTATTGATTTCCGACACGCGTGGACAATAGCATAATCAGATCGCTTGGATGTCATTCGCCTAGATCTCTGAATGAAGCTTTGATTTCTGCAGAATGTCACGATAGTTTCGCCTACGATAGCTTGGTAATTCACCTTCTTGTAGTTACTATATGGGTTCAATGAGGTCCAAAGCACTGCAAGTGGATTACTCTTCAGTTCGCTTCTCTCCGCCCCCTCTTCACCCACCTTACTTTCATTTCAGATTTTTCCCTCTAGACCTAAATCCACTGAAACTATTGCAAAATTATCCATTATGTGGGTGTCAGTGGACATGGAGAAACTGAAATGGTTGCTTTTTCACTTCGTATTGTATATGCTTGCATTTCTTGCTCTTCAGAAGGTATAAATCAAAATTAATCGAACTGGAAACCATATTTCTTGAGAGTAATCACATTCTCCGTTGGTCAAGTTATCAGCAGGGCTCGGCACGAGACGGCTTTTGGGAAAAACGAAGTCTTCCTTGATTCGCGAATTTTTACGAAGTCCACTTTGACTCCTCAACGTAAAAAAACCACCAAAAAACGAAACGTCGACCAAAATAATCTTGCAATTTTTGTGCCTTTCCGGCCTTAAAAACGATACCCTCTTTGCTTTTTGTCCCCAAAGCGATATCCAGCTTGCTTACAAGCCAACTGTACCGAGCCCTTTATCAGTCAAATTCTCTTAGACAGTTGATTCAGAATTCGTGCATTCTTAGAATTCTCACACTTGCTTTTCAAGGGCGGAAATTGCACTATTCAGAAACGGTAAGCGCGTATGCTGTCTTTATGATGATATTGCAAATGATGAATGTCAGACTGAGAAAGAACCAAGCTCATATTTGACAACTTGCAAGCATCTCGCATTTCTCCACCCTACTCCAAGTCCAGTATAAACAGTTCAATGGCTATATGTTATCCAGAAGTGCTTCAAAAAGTTAGTGCTTTCTTTTTCTCAAGTTTTCTGCGATCAGAATCAATTGATACAATCTTTGACCAGGCATCCCCTTGCAAAAGAGCAAGCCATACACATTTCTACATCTTGCGTGGTCCTGAGTTATTCATAATCGCTCACAATCTCGCATATGCTTGCATTTTAAATGCCCTTCAGTAAAAGAACAGATTTTATGAGAGGAAGAATGCGATTTCAAAAGTCAATTTGCCCAAAATTTATTCCACTCAAACCACTTGCGAGGGAGCTCCACTGCAAGGAATGATTGCTGCAATTAGTTCCTCTTTGAAAATGAACGAGGAACTCTGCTCCGGATGGTCTTTGTCCTATGCGCTATGCCTCTTCAGATCTGAATGAACCATTCTTTTGGAGGGTTGGAGGGAAGGGAAATCGCTGTTTTGAAGCTTTCCATCGCAGCTTTGACTTATTTTAATTTGATGGAACGATCCACATGAGGAAAAACTCAACCATCTTCCCTCCTTTACGCATTCGCCTTTTCCCTAGTTGTGCATTCATCATTGTGCAAAACCATCACATCACACTTTTTACGTCCGACCGTGGGGAATACTCCTTAATCTATTCAGCAACTTTTTCTCTTCGTTTTCTTCTTAGGAAGCTGGAATGACGCCTCACGCGCTAAAAGTCAATAGTTTCACTAAACCAAACATTACTTTTCAGTGAATGTGGAATGCGCGAATGTAATTGTTTGCATGAACCGACCGATGGTGTCGCAGGTGATGTGAACCTGGTAAGCACTCACTTTTCATTGAACTTGATTCTTCTTATACGTATGTTTCAGATCTTGGTGATTGGCATTTTGCCAGTATTGGCAGTTCTCGGAATTGTACTAAATTTCATAAACATTATCGTATTTGCCTCACAACGGAACACAGCTGCGAAATATCTGACAGCGCTCAGCTGCAGTGATGTTGGTGAGTTGTTTTTCCGATGATCTCAAGCTTGGAATAAGTACTCTTCAAAATAGAATAATTGCGTATTATTACGCCACTTTTCGACTTTCTTCTCCGCTTCGTGAATTGATTCAAAATGAGAGAATCTTAAATGATGTGCTGAAAGACGATGCTTTTGTTGATTATATCTCAGCAGCTTTGACGCATGTTTCAAACCCTCTCTAAATCTAATTATTCAATTTTCTGAACATTCTAACGCGGTCATGTTGCAGCAGTTAAGCGCAAAAATTCGAAGATGGTTTTCTAGGGGCGATAGTTTGTACTCTAGCTTTAGTGAATATCGAAAAATTGCAAGTTTCATGAAAATGATGTAAAATTCCCCTTTAGTCGTTATAAGTCTCGTTTCATGAGAAAAAGCCGTTTTCAAAAATTGATGAGACTGCGTAAACTAAAAAGACCTGCCTCGCAAACACTCAGCTTTATCCTATCTGATGATTCTCTAGCTGTTTTAGCGAAAACTTTTTGTCTCTGTTTTCAAACTTGATCGCTTGAAGTTGACACCTCCTAGCAAATAAATGCAAACAATGCTGCATCAAAAGCTCTATATCATTCTTTAGTTGAATTTATCCTAGATTTGGTAGCCACTTAGACTTCTTGGAAAAGCGAAAAAGCTTTTGGAGTGACTAACGTATATTAAGCTGTAAAAAAATGGTGTAACTATAGTATTGCCGTACCTACGCTTTTTCAATCTTTTGCTTCTAAAATGCGCGATATAATGATAAGTGTAACTTTAGTGTTGCCGTTGCTTTACCTGCGTTTTTTCAATCTTCTGCTTCGAAAATGTGCGATATAATAATAATAATTAAAAAACAAGTCTTCGACAGCAGTGTTTTATCTGGAAATTGTACTCGAAACCCATAGTCGCTCATGAATATCTTTGAATAAGTCCAAAATAGGTAGTGATTTACTTTCTAGTCTTTCAATCAAAATAATTAGTATTCATTTTCTGGTCTTCGACTTAACGCAATTTGGTTTGCCTTCGTGCGCATGAATCAAAGTACGTAAACGCAATGGCAGAGAGTGAATTTCCAGTTATGATGCTATTGCATCATATCCGCGATAATCTGGGATATCTTCCATGATACCAACTTAGCAGGCTTATTTTTAGTGCATAGATGCTTTAGAGATTATCAGTGACAAAGTAAAGTTAAAACTTCCATCTCCTATGGTTGCATCCCATCTAGATAGAAAACTTATTGAAAAGTTAGAAATAGACAGTTAGAGGCTCAGACTATGAGTCAGGCCTTGCTTTATCGGCGGTATTCTAAAATCAGACACGCATCTTTTCCTTGAACACCTTCTAGAGAGATTCTAAGTTTTTTTAGGAGTATGTGTAGCCGGTGTAGTCGTCATTTTCGCCGATTCACTTCGAGCACGTTCCTTTGTTGTAGACCAGATATTTGTTTTTCTACTTCCCAAGCTTATTCCGCTCGGATTATTCTTCCAGGTAAGTAGACGATAACATCATTTATTGTGTTTGCTGTGACTGCTTTTATTTACATGATCTTCATCTCAGCGTATATAGGGAATGTAGGAAGCGCAAAAAATAAAAGATTCTTTTCAGATGCTCTCGGTCTACATTACAGTTTTGGCTGCGTTTGACTGCTTCGTATCGGTCTTACGGTAGGAACTGCTGCGATGGAGGTTTTCTGCGGAAAAATAAATCACAATTCAATTTTAGTGGCACTTTATCCTGTAATTCGCGATCCACATGGGCCCCAAGAGTGCTAGCTGGAGTGGTCATTACTGTCGCGGCCTACAATTCCGTCCAGTTTGCTGATCTTGAGGTAAGCGGATATTTTCACTAAAGTTTGAAGCAACTGAATGTAATCTCAGTGCTAGTTCAAGGAAAAGGATTGCATAGTATAATGCACTTTGAAGTCTTCAGACCTCAGCACCTCATTAGCTTTATCATCCTCCCACTAGCCATTAGGCAAAACACTATATGTTAACAAAAAAACTTGGCTTCATATTGAGAATTTGACTGAAGTAGTCTTTGTCCCATTCACTGCATACATTTTCAATATGTGAAAGCAGGCCATGGAATGCAAACAGTTGGACTGCAAATCCAAATTTCTAAATCAAAATTTGAGTGTTTGCCAAAAGATCCCAGAGGGCGTTACCGTAACGTGCTCAAAAGTCTTATGAGTAGATTGGGGCAAGTTTCAAGCTATAGCCTCCATTTTTACAATAGTTTTGAAAGGCTTGGAGCTTTGGTTGTTCTATAGAATTTGTGGGAAGCAAGGCATAGTTGTCGTTTATCATGAATCAACGACTCATCTCTTGAAATCTGTCCACTTTAGGACAGATTGTTTACAAGTTATGGCATAGAGTTGTTAGGCAATCAAGATTCTCTTTAACAATAGTATACTCGAGAAGAGCCGTCCTGAGGGGGATTCGTAGAACTGGAGCAATTTCTTGAATGAGAAAATTTGAATGGTTTTCGCTGTAAATCTAGCTTTAAATCTGTACGCTTCCAGGCTGTAGAATGCCTCCATCCGGACAACTACACCCTCTATGAACTTTGCCCAACAGAGCTTCGAATCAGCGAGCTTTATGTCGTCGTTTACAAGTAATTACCTCTCGGAAACGGTGTGATATCAATAAAATTTGACCTTTTCAGGGGTTATATGTACGCGCTCACTATGGCATTCATTCCATTTCTTCTACTCACCATTTTAACTATCGGAATACTGTATCTTCTCAGAAAAAAGCAACAAACGGCTGAGAAGGTCAAATGTAAGCACTTTTCATTATTCAAAAAAGTGACAAACTTGCTGAAGTTAATGAATAGCTGTGGAGTTTAACTTGAGCGCTTCGCGGTAGCCTTTTTCGTAAAAAGGTTTTACCTTTACAAACAATGAGAACAGCATTCTTACTCTTTTCTTCCCATAATATACGCAACAATGGCTCCTATGGATAGAACAAGTGCAAGTTTTCGCACCTCTCTTTCCTTATAGTCTCCTTTATTCTTACGAATTCTTCAAGCAATTTTATTTTGCTGCACGTAAAGGTCAATTACAGATATGAAGATCTAGAAAAATTAGTGCTCCTTATAGGAAAGACTTGATTTGAGACAAAAACACCATTTTCGCGCGGTGCTACTTATTATATGACCATCACTATTACTTTCTTGCGAGAAAAAGAGTTTGGCTGAAGAAACTCATTGAAATGTTTAGGTGTTGAACAAGAAGATCAGGGCTCGCCCGTTGTATTACTACTGGTTATTGTGTTGTTTTTGGCTTGCAACGTGATATCTCTACTTGTCAGCCTGTTTGAAATGCTCAAAATGTAAGTTTTTGCAAAAGTTTTCTTGCATGATCTCATACCGCCTATTTAAAATGTGGAAACGACAAACAAATACTACATTTACCCGACTTTCACGAGTAAAAAACGCGGGAGATTTGAACAGCACAAACACGCCGAAGGACTTTACAACCAAAAAACTATATACAGTGCTGCATATTGCCTGAGAGTATCGTGCGGCATAAATCTTGGTTTCCGAAATAGAACGAAGGGCTGAGCGGCTTGCTCGAAAAATCAAAAAAGATGCGTACTATCCTCGTGAAACTAAAGGATTTGGTTATACCTAGCCATAGAAGTTTGGAGGAATAATTACGATGCTGTCATAAGATTAAGCAAGTAGTCGTTTTCTGAGTGAAAAAATTACAAAAAAGTACACTCTCTTCCTAAAAAGCGTTTCGAGTTGCAATGTCAAACTTAGGCAAACACTGTTAATAGTTCAGACCGCAGAGCTGCAAAAGTTTGATTTTCTGTTCACAATAATGCTGTACAAGGGTTTTCATAACATTAAGTCAGTTTTCAAGAACAGAGCTTTTTGATAAACTCTATGAAGTCATGTGGCTTTTGCGTTAATCAGTTCTCCCATCCCTCTTGTGCACTAGGAACCGAGCGTTTTGTTCCTCAAAATTGAATTCAAGTTTACGTTTAAGAGTAGCAGCATTTTCTTGATTTGCTGCAACAACTAGTGCTATCAACTAGTAGGCTGTGACAGCCTAGCACTCCATGTCGTATACAAGGCCATATACAAAACAAATCACTCTTCAATTGCTTGGAATAGGGTCTCCATGGGGCCTTCAATCAGAATCACCTCCAATATGCGATCACTGTTGTTCTTATTCATTTCATAAGAACTTTTCGATAGAACATCAAAAAGCGCTTTCCTTTCAGACATCTCGGCACAGCCGCAGATGCGATTCTTATAGATGTTGGGAATCTACTGGTGGTTGTGAATGCAACAGCGAATTTTTTTGTCTACTGGGGATCATCAGAGGAGTACAAAAACTCTGTGCGAGGACTCGTGCGCAGATGTATAACACGACGGAAAGCTATAGATCTGGTTTCAAATCACACTAATGCTGAATATGTTTGATGTTTGGATACATCCGAAGAGTAGAGTATGACATGACTCAATAGAGGAAAATAATTTGAAACTCTTCAATGCACTAAAAAACCATCTAATTTGGATTCGAAAAAATCAAATGCAGTGAAAACATTTCCAAACTCCAAAAAATGATGACCAAAGTTATTTTACGTAAATATTAGAAAACAATTCGAAGGTAGCCTTCCTTCAATTGTGAATAACCCATCAAATCAAATCTACTCTTCGGAATACCCCAGAAGATACGATCTCGTGCATTTTACTTGTTGTTGAAAATCTCAGTTAGTTCATATTAAGAGTACGGGTCGCTTTTTAGCATATTGTAATAGGTTGCTTTGTGCCTTTGACAAAGATAAAGATTGTGTAAAGTCGTTGTCGTGCATATCTACCAAAACATTATGGTAAACACTAATTTGCATTCTAGTAACGAGTCCAAAAGAATTCGCCATTGAGTCACTCAGTCAAAGAAGGCAGAAGCAGTCTTTAGAGTTAACTTAGACTTTCTTCTTTATCTGCTCCTGTGTCAATGTGTACTTGAAAATTTAAGAATGTAGAAATCTGATCATTATTTCAGAACGTACTTCCAAAGTGTAAAAACGTTAATTAATTTTCTTCGTCGAATTTTACAACAGCGATTTACCCAAAGTAGTTGGCAATCATTTCCCACGAGTCACGCAACTCACGCTTCTTAAGGGTCTCGTTGTAATTACTGTCCTTATGTTACTTATGTAGCATAAAATTTCATTATTTGAAATGGCTGCCTCCTAAGGCCTCCAACAGAGTTCACGCGATTTGATCGTCGCGATTTGATCGCTACAAGACAAGTGTTACGAATTCATTGCATGCTGATCTTCTTGTATTTCGGTTGTGATAGTTAGTCATGATTAGTCGCGTTGGAAAACTATCACAACAGAAATGCAAGAAGATCGGCATGCAATGAACTCGTAACATTTCTCTGTAGCGATTGAATCGTCGTCGACCAAATTGAGTGAGCTCTGTCCGAGGCCTAAGGCCCCGGTCAGACTTCACGCGACTTAGTCGTCGCGACCAAATCGCCAAGATTTCCATTCATTTTCATTTCACATTCAAAAATTTCGGTCTGGAAAAGTATCACAACCGAATGCAAGTTGATCTGCATGGAATGATGTTGTAACAGTTGTCTTCTCGCGATTCAGTCGCGACGATCAAATCGCGTGAAGTCTGCCCGAGGCCTAAGAGAGTCTCCCTTCGAATCTGCAAGAACTCATTAGAATTCAAAAAAAACCTGTTTATGACAAATCCACCGGATAACCTGAAAACGAAAGTGTGTGTGTATGTGTGTGTATGTGTGTATGTGCGTGTATGTGTGTATATGTGATGTATGTATGTGTGTATGTGTGTATATGTGTGTACGTGTGTGTATATGTGTGTATGTGTGTATGTGTGTGCATGTGTATAGGCTGTACAAACCAGCATCGGCTTCGCGCTGCTATGCCTTGCGGGAACGCACGGTCGCATGCGACGTGCACTCGCGCTCAACAGAGTTCGCACGCGTCATCCGCATCGTCGCAAGCTGCCGCAGACGCGACGTCGCATAACCGATGCTGGTTGGTACAGCCTATATGTACGTTTCTATACCTACTCAGGAGACTGGGCAGGTATAGTAATCTGGTCGAAACTCCGAGTTTAAACTTGCGCGTTGAATCGGTTTCAGCTCTGACAAGGGGACTTTAGTCGAAGTGGTGTTTTGAAATAGGATGCATCGGAGAACATAAAACGCTGATTCTAAATTTGCTTTCTTTATCTGCGGAACGTTCATGAACGAGAAGTTATGGGCTTTATCAGAGCAAAAAGTTACATATGCAAATAGACGAAAATTGTCGTAGTATTTTTTCTAGCGCTTTAATGGAGCAGTAACGATTATCAGAGCCCCTTATTGAGCCAATACTCCCATATTAAATTCATTTTACACTCTACTTAAGGAATAGGGAGATTTTAGCAACCCATTTTATCCCTGAAGCTCTTCTTTTTTTTTGCTTTAATAAACGCTCACAACTCCTCGATCAGAAAAGTTCGCAGATAGAGAAAGCAGATTTGGAATCAGCATTTTATCTCTCTGATATGGCATACATTCCATCCGAAAAAGCTAGTTCGACTAAACATGGTTCCCTTGTGGGTTTCGCTTTGAAACTTCGAGTACTGCAAGTTTCATTTCTCAAGCTCGGAGTTTCACTCCAAATATATAATAATAATAATAATAATAATCAAATCTTAGAGGTCGGAAACCGAATGTTGATCGATCTTCGCATGGCGGATAATTTAACAATTTACAAACTATACTCTTTATAACTTTGACTTGACTATTATATCTCTACCGCAACTTCGCTCTACCTCCTCCTTGTGAAAAATGAATATCATACGTACTTGCAATCAGCGCAGCGAACTCTCAGTCTCTTCTGGGTTGAATGTCAGTTTTGCGAAGCTCAAAAGCTTCATTCAACTCCATGATATTTTCCCATCCACTTTAACCTACCGTGATCTCGATATGTGGGTCCGTAGCGAAAATTGAATACTGAATATCTTAATCGGAATTATCATGCGAAAAACCCCATCGCTCAAGTTGCACCCAAATGCTTGATTTTGCCCAGCTACCGCATAGCTACGTAACTCGTCCATATGACCCCAGGATGAAAAATGTATACCGTATTCGTAATCAGCGCGTCGAATAATCCCACAGTACCGAGTTTCAACAAAATTCGTTATTCTCGCCCAACTGTCATACTTCTACCGTAACCTTGAGTATAATCCAAGGAATTACCTTATTCGTGATCGGCGGGAGACGGCCCTTCTGAACCCACCGTCCCCTACAGTAATCTAGAACTAGGACGCGCGCGCATGCGCTGCGATGACTGCGGACGAGTGCTCCGCGAAGGCTCGTATTTTCGAAAATCACCAACTCCTTTCGTGCGGCTGTTGCATTATGGAATGTAAGCCAACCACGCTGATTTCAACCAAACACAGCTACCATCCTCTGAATGTTTGGTATTCTGAGCCCTACTTCCCAGCAGGTATCATGATTTCCCTACTTCCAAGCAGGTATGTTTATGATTTATGGAACATTTCCGAAGTCTTTTCATTTCCATAATTCATAAAAAAATTCTCATGAATCCCTTATGAATTCTTTCGAACTTTGTTTTTTTTTTGCTTTTTTCCCACTTCTATCACTTGTGTATGCGATCCTTATAACGTCGTGCATCGTCACATCATATTGCTAATGTGAGCTGCTTGATGTTATTGAGGAAAGCCCACGTAATCAAAGTTTGTGTAGCAACTCTTTATAAAGGCCATATACGCTAATTCGTTATCAAATGCGTAGTTCCTTCTGACATTTCAGTGCATTTCTGTAGCTTTCCAAGAAAACTATCACCTTAAAATTCTCATTCCTTGTAAAATTTACGAACGTGCATTTGAAATTTTTACGCTTCAAAAAGCATGATGCGTGCAGCAAAGAAAAGGTCGCTACCAAAGTCAATCCATGTAGATCACGTTACGAAATGAAGGTGATCAATTATTATTTGATTGCGTTTTTGATATGGACGGTGTAAGAAAAACTTCACAAAAAACTGAAAACTCATCATAAAAAAATGTATGCTTCCCTAATGGCATGCATGTAGTGCACATTTCAATTGAATGTGACTAGATGATGCTGCAAGGAGGCAAACGTAGGAGAGTAGAGTATGCAATCGAACTCACAAAGACCTAGGAGAGTAGAGCAAGCAATCGAACTAAAAAACCAGTAAAATAAGTCGAAAAAGACTTGAAAATGTCTTATAGGTCAAAAACATACCACCTTAAAAAGTAGCCGGCGATTTAGTAATGTAGAGTAGAGCGAATAACTTAAGTTATTGAATTCTAGGGAATTTGGGGGAATTAGGAATTTTCTAGAGAATTACTTCCAGAATCTCATTGTGGAGTAGGTTACCAGCAATGTGAAACTCGTCCGCCTCCGCAGCGCGTCTGCCTAGGTCAGCTGCTCGCTCCCGCGAGCTAGCCAATCATGGAGTGACCTCTAATTAGTGCTGACCTCCTATAGCCGTCGCGATTAGGGCAGGTTCAGAAGGGCCTACACCCGTGATCGGCCTTCGGATAACCCCAAGGGCCAAAATTTCACAAAATTTTGAAATATTGGAAAGAAACCATACATCACTAACGTCATCTCTGCTGAAACTAAGACGCTGAGACACCACTATATAGACTCAAACTAAACTTAGATTAGCTCCTTGCATAATCAAAAATCGGAGGATCTACTCGAGAAAATGTTTAATGAAGTTCAAGAAAATAATGCAAAGTGGCTCAAGATATCTGCTTTACTTTCTACTTTTGCTTGAAAAAAAGGCAGCGAGATTTTGAAAAACCAGGTGGTATTTGTGAGTACTTGCGACTTTGGAGAAGCTATGGCAAAAGCGAGAGGTCGCTTGTTCAGGAAATGGATGCCAACATGAAAGAGAAGACAATGTTATTTGAATTATATCAAAGCTTTAGTCGCCGCTCTGTGAGAAACAGAGTCGATTGAAGAAGACAAAAGCGAAAAAACTTTGATGTTCGTATCGTGAGTGATTAGAATTCATGCAGTACTTCCATGCGCAGTCTGTTTCATTTTTTCTCTCTCATCAATGGAAGCAGCTGGAACTGCACTAGTGGCAACAGAAGTAATCACTGAGCAACGCTCAAATGAAAAGGTTTGGCTGCTTTATAGGGCTTTAGACACGCCTCGCGCGATTGCATCATCTTGGTTCCATTGCTTCAATAGTTCGAACTCTCCATGAGCGCATTCTGGGAATATTAGCTTTGTAAAGCTGCATTATATCGCTAAGTCAAGCTGGTTGCCAGTTTAAGTCATCTGAAACACGGCGCTGAGGTTTCTGGCAAATGGCCGAATCTTAACCACAAATTAAGTTTTAAAGGGCCGGACATACATCACGCGATTTCATCGCCTCGCGATTCTCCCGGCAAGACAACTATTACGAGTCCATTGCATGCTGATCATTTTGCCATTCGGTTGTGATAGTTATTCGGCGCAACTAATCGCTGACCGTTTTTTACCCGGGCATACTTCATTCACTGAAATCGTCGCGATTTGCCCGAATCTCAGCGATATCGCGTCGCTGACTTCAAACGAGCGACGCGACCCAATCGCTGAGATTGGTTTTCTTTTCTGAACGTTTTTATGATTGTTTCTTAGCTTTTTGGGCTGTTTTCTTGCTTACTATCTCAAAAATGTTCTATATTGCCAGAGTGCGTTGCTTCTCCGTAAATCGATCCTCTTCCCGTTTTGGCGCTATCCGTGGTCCAAAATTTAAATTTCAAAGTCGTCAATTTCGCACTCGATCTAGGGGGGGGGGGGTTATGCGACCCGCTGGTGCCGAATATCATGGTTATTTTGTGCGGTAGCGCCATTTTCTGGGGCTACCGTGGGTATACCGTAGAGCGTCAAAATCGCGGATTCGCACTAAATTTGTTGTTGGGAGAGGAGGTTCCTTGGCACGCTGAACATGATTATCAAGATGATCACTCAAGAAAGCGCCATTTTCCCGCAGTCTGTGTCAACCACAACAACAATTGGCAGTTTTCTTGGGTCACCAGATACAAAAAACTGTGGTAAAGACTTCCTCAACGAACTGAACACAATATTCGTGATGAGAACATCAAATAACTTCACTGTGCATATATTTCGGCAAATCCAGGACTTTGACAGCTACCAGATACTCAACTCCGCAACTCCGTGTATGTCCAAAATTATATATGAGCATGATTTTTGTGATCAGCATATCAATACCTATATAATATTTGAATAAGCAATTTTTTTATGACCGGCCTGAAATGATACAAAGAATTGAGGAGTTTGGATGAAACTTTGCATACATGAACTTCGGAGTGGGGCGGGTGTCACTAAGCTTTTTCACCGAAAATCACTCAGTGGCGCTATCGATTTATCGATTTTTTGCGTTTTTCGCTTAGCAATTTCGTTATGACCGGCCTAAAATGTTAGAAAACTTCATTGAAATCAAACGAAACTTTGCACACAAGAACTTCTAGGCGGGGCGGGTGTTATTAAGTTTTTTCACCATATAAGCATTATCGATTTATCGACTTTTTAAGTTTCAATCTTTGTTGAGCTGAAACTGGCAGGAAGGGATAGCTAAGCATGGTTAATTTGAATAAAATATCTACAGCTTCAACCCTAAACTTTTTTACCTTTTTTGATTTTTTGTATGCCACATTCTGGAGGCTAGCTGATATTAAACTATGCGTTGACCTTTCGCAACGGGTTTGTCAACTGTTTAGCTCATCAACAAAATCAAATTGGTTCATTCTCGAGATCACTTATGACCACCCAATCAAAATACTCTATCCCGGCCTTACGGTTCATTCATAACACGCCTTCATCGGTCGTACTTCCCTCGAGTACTTTTACTCCCGAGATCACGGTGCCGACATTGACCTTTACAGCAATGGACCTTCCACCTCCACACCTCAGTCGCAGATACATATCGCCCAGAGAACCCAAGCTTCTGAAGCCATGCGTAGCCGCCTTCGTCGTAGCCGAGAAACACCAGAGGCACGAGAACGGCGTCTTGCCTCAATGCGTGAACGTCGTCTTAGTCAACGGCAACAGGAACCACAGCTTAACGGACGCCTTTCAGAGAACACTGGATCAATCCAGGCATGGTGCGAGCCCAGAACAGATTGGCCAACGACGATACGGACCAAATGACGAGAACACAGCACAACCGATCTCTACGCTTGACTCGCGGCAACAAGTAAAGTTTGAACCGGCACCTACCTCTAATCCCATCTCGCAGATGCACATTGCGCAGAGAACTCGAGCATGTGGCGCAAGGCTGAGCTTTACAGCTGCACATAACCGTCTTCACCATAGTCAGAAAGCACCAGAGGCCCAAGAAGAACTTGCCCCGATGCACGTGAGTTACCTTCATTGTCGCCAGCACAACCAATTTTAAAAAATGCGTCCAGGAGATGAATGCGGCCATACGTCAAGGACGATTCGAGGAGACCATTTCCACACCCCAGATGCAGATGCACATCGCACAGAAAACCCGATCCTGTACTGCTGCAAGACGCCTTGCGCCACGTGCTCAAGTTCTTTGTAGCCTTACATAGCCGTCTTCGCCGTAACCATGAGATATTGGCTGCACGAGATCGACGTCTTGCCTCTATGCGTGAACGATATCATGAACAACACTTACCTGCTGATGCGCCTTCCGTCACTGAGCACTACCTCGGCAAGTTGGATTTTATTAGCCTCCATTGTAGCGCCGCATTTTTCGTGCTGAAGTCTCTAATGGCTGTGATAAAATTAATGTGCGCTACAACCCTGGCAACATCATTATCGAAAACAAGTTCGCCTACAGAGTTGCCACAGCTCTTCGTTGGTAACTACGAGCCTTCCCAGACTTTCCTCCGCAAAGCACGCCAATTCAATTCTGCGCTGGTGCGATGGCATCAATGGGTGCCAAAGTCGATTTGCCTTTCGATCAGTTTCCTTGGGTCTCCAATCCACCTACCACTACTCCGGTCCTCTTCATCTCGCCCCTGGGAGCCGCGATCGGCCAGCTGTACATTCTGGAAACGGCAGAAGCAGCCGCGGAGCGCCTTGGTCACCCAGCGAACTCGGAATGTGATCCCGACGTGATGCGATCGTTAAGTGCATTGATACACCGCTTAATCCCTTCGCTCGATCCTACAAGATGATGGACGAAGTGCTTAGGGAAGAAGAAGCTGCCGCATCAAGGGAGAACGCAGTGCTGAGCCAGTTTATAGTTTTCGAGATGGACCGTTCCCTTGACCGTAACGCCCCTACATCCAACGAGGTGGCCGTTGTTTACGTCGGCGAAGACGGTGACGCTCCCGTTCATCGCGAATTTGCCGTACATCCATATGTCAACGCAGTTCAGAGGATCTCAGACATTTCCAATTTTGCCGATCCTCTCCGCTACCCGTTATTTTTTCCGAGAGGAAATTTTGGCTGCAGCCCGGATCTGAAAAAGAGGGATCACGCCCGTCGACGCACCTGCATATCCCAGCGGGAATACTACTCCTACTTGCTTCAAGTCAGACTTGGCAAGTTTAATCCGATTCATCACGGAGGCCCACTTACGCAGCAGTTCATTGTCGACGCTTGGGTTAAGACGGAGCAGAACCGCTTCAACTACATACGCACTCATCAAGCCGACCTTCGAGCGGATACGTACTAGTCGCTACTCGACTTCATCTCTACTGACGACGGTAGCAATGGATCACCGGGCAAGCGAATCATCCTGCCAGCAAGTCCGCGCTCTATGTTCAGGGCTACCAAGATGCCATGACCATTGTCACAAAATATGGTAAGCCGGACTTCTTCATAACGTTTACATGTAACCCCAAATGGCGGGAAATTGAAGAGCCTTCAGCCAGGACAGACTGCAACCGACCGTCCTGACATAATTGCGAGAGTTTACAAGTACATGTTCGACTCCCTCATGGAGCTACTTTTTACACAACACGTCCTCGGCCGCGTCGTAGGTTACATATCAGTTTTGGAGTGGCAGAAGCGAGGGTTGCCACACACGCACTCCCTTCTCATCTTGGACAACGACTCGAAACCTCGCACAGCAGCCGACATCGATCTCCTCATTACGACAATGATGATGCACCGACCTTGCGGAATCCATAACCCGGAATCACCGTGTATGCGTGATGGCAAGAGCACTAAAAAATTTTCCAGGACCCAGCTATGAAAAGTATACGAGGCAGCGAAGCTGCCGAGTGCCAGGCGCACCTGCCGCGTAGCGGCAGTGAGCGGCTGGTTGATAACTACTCTAGAAAGAATTCCAGCCAAATCCATGGTTTTGTTCCCTTACGAAGCACAGTGATTATAATATTTGGCATCAGTGGGTCGAATAACCCCCTTGAATCGAGTTTGAGCAAAATCCGGAAACAGTGAGGCCCAGATACTGAATAGAGTAAAATTTCGATGTGATCCTGAGGTTGGAATTGATAGTGGACTACAAAATGAAAGTACAAATGAAAAAATCAAGCCGCGCAGAAGTATGCCCATGAACAATCAACTAGCGATTTAGTCGCTGCGATTTCGTCGCTACTTGCAGCAAATCGCGACGACCAGGAATCGCGCCGATGAAGTCGCGTGAAGTATGCGCGGCCCTTAATGCGACTGGATAGGGCAACACTGTAAAACGACCAATTTCAGTGAACAACCATCAGAAAAGTTTGTGAAATAATTAATCAACATGAAAACTATGTGATGGTGGTTCTGCATTGTTGCTGTTATGGCTCTATAAGTTCAGGTTTTCAGGCGAGGAGAATATTTTACAGCTCTGACCAAATACAAATCGCATTATTACTTCTCTTACCCTGCTCAGAATCGTTTCCATGATCTCTTTGCTACTTAAATTTGCCAAAATCTCGAACCTATTTTCATCTTGCAAATGCCCTTTTTGATTGTTCTGATGAGTAAGTCATAACGAAGTGAAGGCAGTGTCCGGGCCAGTTGGAGGTTTTGGGCTTTCAGTGCTATGCGAAAGTGGCCCTCCTCGACACAACATCGCGCAAGTGCGAGGCTTTAACGTTCGACCTAAAGCAAGAAAAATGACCACAAAGTGGGGAATCTGTTCGTGTTCCTGCTATGCAGAGTACGCATGCCGCCACTGTCAAAATCGTA